CTTTAGCGAAGTCCAAAAATAGAGCTTCCTCAGCCAAGTCAAAAATAGTAGGGTGATGACGGTGCTCCAGAGATAACGATTACATAGCCACCAAAATAAATGAATAGGTGTTAAGCAACCTGAGGCTTCAAGCAAAATTTAAGTGTGAACTTTCTCCAGCCAAGCAAGAAAAGCTAGATGGAGGTAATGCTTCCAGATGACGATTATGCAACCATAAAAAAAGAAATAAATGGGTGAGTGAGATTATAGCTAGAATAGCCTAGATAGAAAATGTAAATATCAACTTGTACAAAAAAAATGGGCACATCTAAATGCAATATATTGTAGAATAAAAGAAATAAATAGTAGATACGCTCTCTACTATCTTTAAAAACTGAATGAAATTCAAAAATAAATAACCTTTAATTTAGAGTTCAAAGTATAATGATTTCTCTCTAAATTTATGCGTACAAGAAGAAATAAAGTAGAAAGTAGTGATGGGAGAAGGAAGGATAACCATTGTGAGGGCTTTTGAATGGAAGGCTTGATCTCATTTCTTGATGCTAACTCTATTGTTTAATCTTTTGATGCTCAAGAAAATAACTCAGAATCTGAAACTGTACCATGTAGTCCCCTAGCCATGACATCCTTCAAGTCTAGAATGTATTATGTAGAACTAGAAGTGCAGAAAATATGAGAAAAGTGGAGATTTTTAGGAATTTTTAGTGAATGGGGCAAGAGGTTGAAGATGACTAGTTTTAAAGATGAAAAATGGAGTCTAGTGCATGAGGAGTCTCTCCAAATTTTGAAATTTGCTAAAAAAATGAAAGAAAAATCAATAGTTATATATATAGTGGTATTTTGGTAATTTTGGGTTCATGGGTCAGAGTTGCCTAGCAATCCAATGAGTAGATCTAGGTTAGGTGAGGACAATTGTCAAGTTTTTAGTAGTCTTGGGTATTGCCAACAGCTTTTTGAAATGATATCATGAGTTGTTTAATGGTTCCAGTGAAGAATTATTAGTTCCAACGAAGGACTATTGGTCTACTGGAGACTCCCCATTTTTGTTAATTCTCCAGTCATACAAAATAACATTTTTGGAGGGGTACTTGAGTATAGTTGGCAAAATCAGTTCTGTCCAAGATTTTGGTAGATTTTCCAAACAAAATGTAATATTTTTCAACAGTTTCAATGTAATGGAACTTGTGCAGCCATTCTTACATTAAATATAGCTGTAACTTGCTAATGAAGACTTAAACATCATCTCTGGTTGGTTTTTAACAAGATTTCAGGTCTTCTAGTTAACATCAAACGGTACAATTTTGGGATCAAGTTTTGCCCCCCGTCTTCACCACCTAGCCTTTCCTAGCAAAGTTGAGCAACATCACCAGCTGCAAGCTTGCCAAGAGCGAACACATCACTTTGTGAAATGGGCAACGCTCATCCATCCACGCTTGCCAAGCCACTACTCTTATAGTTTATCCCAAATAATCCCCATGAGCTTGGATTCATAGGTTCATTAATGACCTGCATATAAAAATAGTGATTAGTTGATGAAAATGATGAAATTTAATAAATAAGAAATAAAAAAATGAGACTTCCTTATGTATGTCTAGTGATGTAGCCATATACTGTAGCATTAGATATTATTGGGCCTTCTGGTAAATGCATGTTGAAGGCATTACTGGGCACTTAGATCAAGGTGGGTCTTGATGATGTGAAAATTACTTGAGTCCGAGTTTGACCTCTTATAAAAATAATCATCAACAAAGTGCATGTCAATTCCATGTTGTTTTTAGTTGATTTTCTTAGGATATTGTGTTTAATTTAGGATTAGTGCCTTTTTTATATATTTTTGTGGTTTTAAAGTCCTTAGAATTGTTTAAGGCAAGTAGTAATCCATTTTGCAAAACACCTTCCTCTATTTTGCAACATTGTCTAAGGCTCATAACAATTCACAAACAAACATCCTTTCCAACCATCCTACTTGAAGGTCAACTACTAGAAAAGAGAGGGTTGTCAAAGAAATCCTATTTTCTTATTTTTAGGTAAAGTAAGTAGCATACCTTAAACTTAGACTCACATGACAAGGGCCAACTTAGGATTTTTGAGGAAACACCATGTGTTGAGCCAAATCTACATAAATGTTAAGTATCTGCTAATTATTTGATTTTTTTAGAGTTTTTAGAGATAGTGGCTATATTTTAGAAGAAAGTTACGAGTCAAATTTAGTAAGTACGTGAAGTGGCAAACAAGCAGCAAGTTCCGACATAGTTTTGACCAAGTCTCAATTAGAACAAATGCTTAAGCCATGTTTTGCAACAAGTGAAGTGGGAAGTGGGTAGTTACAAGCCATCTTGGGATATCTAAAAAAGAAGAATTCAAAACATTGCACATGCGGTTTGCCTTACAAACAAACTCAATAACAATGTCATTCTCTTAGCATTTTAGCAACTATTCATTTAACTCTCAGAGTTTAGCTCCAACACAGCCTTCAATTAGATTTAGGTTGAATATAGTCTCTCAATTAGTCAATTAAACCCTTGTAATTAGTTAAGCATTGATTCCTTCATGTGGCTGATTGTAATATGTTGATGGATGTTTTTGTAAAAGGTCAAACATGGACTCAAGTAGTTTCCATGTCACCACACCTTGATTTAAGCACCCATTAATGCCTTCAACATGCATTTACCAAAAGGCCCAACAATATCTAATGCTATAATACATGGCTAGGCCTAGCAATATCTAATGTTGTAAGATGTGGATAGGCCTAACAATATCTAATGCTATATAATACATGGTTAGACCCAACAGTATCTAATGCTATAGTACATGGCTGCATTGCTAAAAATACATAAGGAAGCTTCATTTCTTTATTATTTCTTTATTTATTAAATCTCATCATTTTCATCAACTGATCACTATTCCTTTATCCAGGTCATCAATAAGCCCATGAATGCAAACTCATAGGGATATTCGGGATAAACTATGGGAGTAGTGGCTTGGCAAGTATGGATGGGTGAACATTGCCTGTCTAGCGAAGCAAGGTATTCGTGCTAGCGAAACTTGGCACTGGCGATGTTGCCTGACTTCGCTAGAAAAGGTTGGGTGGTGAAGATGTGGAGGCAAACTTGATACCCAAAATCATACTGTTTGATGTTAACTAAAAGCTTAAAATCTTATTTAAAACCAATCAAAGATATTGTCTTGGTCACCATCAGCAATTTGTAGCTATATTCAATGCAAAAGTTGGCTGCACAAGTTACAGTGCATGGGAAACTATTGAAAAAGGTCACATTTTGTCTGGGAAACCCACTAAAATCCTGGGCAACCCTTGGGAATTTACCAAAATTTGATGTAGATTTTATTTTTGCTGGTTGCACTGAATTATCCCCTCAAAAATAGAATTTTGTATGGTTAAAGAGTTGCCAAAAATGGACAGTCTTAGTAGATTAGCAATGCTTTGTTGGAACCAGTGATGCTGGAACTGTTGGTGCTTTGCTAGAATTGGTGGTGCTTTGCTGAAACTAGTGGGTAATTCATAATATCACTGCCAAAAAGCTGTCAGCAATACCCAAGGCCACTCAAAACTTTACAACTCATCTAAATCTACCCATTAGGCCATTGTGCACTTCTGACCCATTAACCAAAAATGAAAAAAATGCCACTACACATATATATTATTTTTCCTTCATTTTTCAACAGATTTCAACAATTTTCACATATCTAACTTTCTTCCTCACGTACCAAACTCCCATTTTTCCTTTGAAAAATCCTTCATCTTTAACCTCTCCCCAAATACACCAAAAATACCTAGAAACCACCATTTTTTTATTATATTTTATGCATTTCCAATAGTGTTGAACAATTTCCAGACTTTTAAAACATCATGGTTGGGAGACAGCATAATGCAGATTCATTTTTTGGGTTATCTTCATGAGCATCAAAGGTTCAAGCTGAAGAGTTAGCGTCAAAAATGGGATCAAGCCCTTCACTCGCAAGGCCCCAAGATAGTCATCCTTCATTCTCCCATCACTACTTTTAAGTGTATTCTTTTTGCTCTTGAGAAAGCTTCAAAGGAGGAATTGTTGTACTTCACATTCACACCATAAGAGTTGCTCATTATAGAGTGGGAATATTTACTAGAGATAATAAGGGGCACATTCATTGTCATTATTATTATGTTACAAAATTCTGTGTATAAATGTGCTCCTCAAGTTGTAATCTTTGATCATCATGTATTTTTCATCCTTGACGCTCTTACCACAATGTATATTTCCTTTTATATTCTTTTTGGTAGTTGTGTAATCATTCCCAGTTCGATTATCTAGCTCTTCTGACTTTGCTGAAGAAGGTTCACCCTTAGACTCTATTAGAGGCATCAATTTGACTAGGGATGCTCTACTCTCGAACTTTGCCAGGAAGCTTCATTTTCAAACTTCATTGGAGAAGCTTTATTCCTGGTCTTTGCTAGAGAAGCGTTATTCCTGGTCTTTGATGGAGAAACTTTATTTTTGAACTTCACTAGAGAAGCACTACTCCCGGTCTTTGCTAGAGAAACTTTACTTCTTGACTTTGTCAGAGAGAGCTCGTAGTTCGTCCTTACAAGAAGGAGCATCATCATCACCTCACTTTCTTGGCTTGGCTAGAAAATTTGTACTTTAAGACTTTGCTAGAGAGTTTGTTGTTGACCAACATCGCTAAACAGAATGAGACAACTTGTGGCACATAGCTTTTTGCAGATGAAATGGGTACCGCCAAAACAACCCTCCTCATTTTTTGCAGGTGGCATCCTAGTCAGCCTCCACATCATCTCCATTGTTGACTCATCAACCTACATCACCAGCACACCCCAACAAAAATGGTGACTACACTGAAAGGTCGTCCTAGAGCTTCGTCTTGTTCTGCTCTTCTTTAGTGGCATAATATCTTTAGTATTCTTCTTCAACAATATTTATTCATCTTCAATAAAAATTTTTTTGACCATGCCTATCATGAGAGCAACTTCATCTCACATTGCTAATGAAAATCAAGAGCCTGGCCAAGATGATGGATAGGAAATTCAACAGCCATGTCTGTTGACACACATTTTTGATGATATCTTGCAAGGAATCACTAATCCTAATCTCACATCTCTAGTCCAAGTTATTCGAGTTTTGCACAAGGATCAGCAAAGGACTACTCAACTTCTCACCAACTTGCAAACTTAACACACTGTGCAAGATCCAGCTCAACTAGTCAACATCGCTGGGACATCCTAGCCACAGAAGGTCCAAACTGGAGTTATTGATGATAATGGGGGCTATGCTACGTGGCTGAGTAAGTCAGCATCGCTAGTAATCATGTCACCAGCACTGATGGAGCTCCACCCAACGCAGCTAATTCCACTCAAGGCTTCATCACCATGGCAGATCTTCTGCTCTCTTGGACAAGGAGTGTTCTAGACAAAGTTTGATGGGAATCAAGATGACAGCATATCTACTACGTCATGTGATCCATTACACACCCAAGGAGGTCCAGTCACACGAGTTAGAGCTAAGAAGATGCGTGAAGTTTTAAATGGCCTTATTGAGCAGATCTGGGTTGAAAACAACATACAACAAGCAAATCGAAGCTTGGATGATTATCAAGGCATGGTAAACATCATTCAGGTTCAAGAGAAGCTTAGTTGAGGTCATTTGCACGAAATTACACAGTTTGCGTCAAAATCGCATAGTTCGCGTCAAAATCGCACAGTTCTGCTGCAATTTGTAGCAAACTGATATTTTGTGTTATTTTAGGTTATTTTTAGTGATTTTCACGTTTTTTGTATTATTTTTAGGCTGAACATTCGCTTATTTGAAGCCCAATTCGTGATTATTAGGTTTAGGACTTAGGGTGTTAATTTCCTATTTTGATTAGGATTTGTTTTCTCTATTTAAAAGGCTTGTAACCCTAATGGGGAGGGAGGCTATTGAATCTGAGATTTTGAGAGACTTTTCTCTTTGGTTCGTTTTAGAACTTTACAGAACTTATCAGGATTATTCTTGTGGCGTTCTAACCTGACTTATCATTCTCGTTCTTTCGAGGGTGTGGCGTCAACCAACTTTATACCTCTAGTTCTTGTTGCATCATAGACAACGGGTCAAGGTTTTTACCTTTGGTTCTTGTTGCGACATAAACAATGGGTCAAGGTCCTATTATAAACCTGATTTAGCTTTCCTGGAGTTCAGAAATCCCTTGTTGTGCTGTGGGTCTCATTGTTCTCTTTGGGGTTCTCATCAAAGTTCAACCACTTTTTAGTTCATCCATGATCCACCCTATCCAAAGGAGATTCTATCCAAGCCCTACCCGAAGAAATATGAAAGTCCTACATTCCGACAATATGATAGGAGGAAGTGCAGTGGTGTAAAGCATATCAGCAAGTTCCTCTATGCCATGGAGGCTCACGTTGGCGGTAAAGACTTGTGCCTACGTGAGTTTTCTAAATCTCTCTTCAATAGAGCTTACACTTGGTTAACTACTTTGCTCCCTAGCTCTATTTGCTCTTAGGATGAAATGGTTAAGCAATTTTGTCAAAAAATTTTCAAAGTGAGGAGCACATCACCATTCTTGATATTTAGAATACTCGCCAATGTGTCGTCGAAGAATTGGTGGTTTATGTAAAAAGATTTAGAGATTTGGCACTTGATTGTTATGGTGGCCATGCTGAATCTTTCTTAGTAGAGATCTGCATCAACAACATATTCCCAAAATATCGTGCTGTCCTTGAAAATATCAGGATCAGTTAGTTTACAAGGCCACTTAATGTTGCTAGGAAAATGGTCGTTTCTATCAAAGCTATCTCTATTGGAAAGTCTATAGCGAAGTTGACAGACAAGAAGGCCATTGCTCACACCTCAACTATCCATGCAAAAAGAAAGCAGAATGTCTAGCTCTCAAAGCCAAGAATGAAATATTCTATAAGCACTTTATGTCTCTTGGCAAATCTAATTATCTTACATCGCCAAACAAGCTTGCTCGTCATTTTTCTTCACAGCATTATAGTCTCATGGTTTCAAACCAACCGGCTATATTATCTATTTGTATAGGTAGCGTTTGAATCTTTTAGATCTGCTTATACATTAAATGCATTGCCAGCACTTAAGTCACATCATCGCCAACCTACTAGAGATGTTACTTCATTTACATAGCTAGTATTAGTGCCTTTTTGAGGTCTACTGGCGGTGTTATCTTCCATGGACAATATTGTTGCCTCTTCAAGGCCTGCTGGAAATATTATCTTTTATGGCCAGTATTCGTGCCTTTACAAGGCCTATTGGCATGTCATCTTTCATGACCAATATATGTGCCTTTACATGGCCTATTGGTGATATCATCTTTCATGGCCAAAATTCCTGCCTATGCAAGGTCTGCTAACAATATTATCTTTCTTGGTCGGTATTGCTGCTTTTCTAAGGCCTGCTAGCAATGTTACATTTTATGGCCAGTATTGATACCTCTTCAAGGTATGTTGGCAATGCATTTTTAAGGTTTGCTGGCAGTATTATCTTTCTTAGCCAGTATTGTTGCATCTCTAAGGCTTGCTGGTGATGTTAATATTAATGCCTCTTCAAGGTATGCTGGCGATGCATCTCCAAGGTCTACTAGCAATGCATCTTGAGGGCCTATTTGCAATGTTATTTTTCATGGCCAATATTTCAACCATCCTTGGTTTGTTAGCAACATTCTTATCACTCATGGCTAGTATTCATGTCGCATCAAGACCTGCTAGTGATGTTGCTTGATCATCTCATGGGTAGCACTTGTGTCACAATAAACTTATTATGTGATAGTGGTTCCTCTCCCATGGTAATATACATCGCCTTCAACTTGCTAATGGAGTGTTCTTCTATGGCTAATATTTCTTGCTAACGGTATTCTTACACTTGATGAGTACTTGTGCTACTTTGATGAAGTACATCAACACTTAGGGGCTTCATAGATTTTACAGCCTTTTTATCTATTATCAAAGCATCAACATGCTTCCCCAAGTTCACTAGGTCTTGTTGGCCTTATCCATTCTACTTAGGGGATTGTACATGGATATGGGTGGCCATTGTGTATTTCACAAAAATGGGAGAAAGCTATATTCCTTTTGCAAGGCTGCGAGCTTGGCAATGTTTTATTTCATCAATCAAAACATTACTTGTTGGCTGTAGTTTTGCTCATCACACATTTCTCACTATGCAATTCCACCTCTAGCATTGTGGTCTATCCCAGCTAAGAGAATAAGCTCTAGCAATCTTCTGCCAACTTATTCATAGAATGGTAGATGTTTGAGCATGGAAAGTCAAACTTCGCTAGACATAAAGATGTTCAACCCAAAAACAGGCATGGACAACAAAGGGTTACATTACAACGTGAGTAGCAACATTGATATTGACAACTAATAAAAAAATAACAATTATGAATCTCTCGTAGAAATGGAGGCTGAAAAATGTGGCTACTCATAGAACAAATGGACCAGGCTCATCACCATAATTATTAGCTATTTCAACACAATTTTGACAAAGCGGGTGACTTATTTGGGTGACTTCACACCCATGCACTTTTTCTCTTGGCTGAGTAATTTCATATGTGTCTCAACTGATTTCAACATGACCTCTAGCTTAAGCATTAGTTCTTTTATCTCAGCCAAGGATTTTTGTACATTTTCAACATGCTTCGCCTACTCCTCAATCTGCTCATCCCAGTTGCCAACCATGCCACTCCCAGCCATGTTGAACTTGCCTTTACCAAGGTTTGCCTTCGCCAACCCAAGTAGCTTCAACTTCAAAGTTTATGTTCTTGGCTTCATCTATGGCATCATTACACAAATGAAAGAATTCCTCATCCATCTCAGCAAAGGGAGTTACTTCCATGTGCCTCATAGTCGCACAAAGATTTATGAAGGCATTTTCAATCAATACTTTCTTAGCCTTGTTGCGCATGTTTTCTCTATTACTCAACTTGGCTGGAACCAAGAAACATTTGTTCTCAGATATGATTTTTCCAAAGCTAACAGCCTTCTTCGCTATGCATATGGTTGGTTCATCAACATTTATCTCATCTTTGCTGGGAATGGATTCTTCTGGAGCTACAGCTAAGTATGGCATGCCTTTCTCTAGCAAAGCTTTTTATGCCAACTTCAACATTAGACATGCCACCATCTTCATTGCTACTCTCATGGTTGGACTTACGGTTATCTCTTGATACTTCATCACTCTTGGTAGATTTCATGTCACTATCTTCATTGGACTTTGGATTAGGCTCTTTAACAACCTTTTTGCCTTTATCTTTGTTGGCAGCTACTTGAATTTCTAACCATATCACCCTCAACATCTAGCAAAGCAAGCAAGAGCCAATTGTTCAACAAAGATCCTATTTTTCTTGAGACAAAAAGGTACCAAATTATGCATCTTATTTCTTGTTGTCTATGGTACCTTTTTCCTCAACAATTTCAATCTCAACATTTTCTTCAATCGAAGACTTCTTTAGCGCCAAGAAAATATCATCGGCTTTAAAATACGGTGATTCTTTAGGCTTGCTCTATTATCATAAAAGATGGCTAAAAGGAAAATGTGATAGCTCCAACAATGGCGAAAATGCTTTATGGCTGTTAGAAAACAAAAGTGTGCATACCTTTGTTGCTGTCTCGACTGGCTGATCTTCTATCAATTTGTGCTTTTTTACTACTTTGGGAGTGCCATATGAAAATTTTTGCACTTCTTATTGTTTACATCCATACAAAAGGCAAAAGTCTTGAGCTGCAAATGATGCAAAATCATTCCAATCAAAGATGTCATCAATCAAGCCAATTATGCTGCCAAGTGGTGAAGGCTCATCTGCTTCATCAGCAATGATCTTACAGCAAGCTTCAAGCCTCACTAGAGCTTCGTCCATATTCTTCGTCAAAGCCTTCTCCATGTCCTTCGCCGAAGCCTCATCCATGTTCTTCATCAGAGCCTCCACATTCTTGGCCTCCTTTGCCTTAGATGAAACTTCATCATTGTCAGGAATAAAGATATGGCCTCCTTTGCCCTTAGTTAGAGGCTGAGGGCTGCACATACAAACAATGACTCATGTACAATGATTTCTTTAAAAGGTCAACAATGATGGAAAGTTTGTATTGGCTATGCAAGGAAAGCTCGTCAATGCACATGCTTGTCTTCTCTTCATTTTCCTTGGGCATTTTAGCTTCGTGAGGCATGGATGCCTTCACTTTGATTTGTTTGCTCCCCAATGAAGCACCAGACTTGTGAGCATCACTCTTGGATTGTTGCTTCACTCTTGAATGGTTTGGCCATACTTTTTCTTTCACCTAGTGCTGGTTTCTTAGAAGAAATTACTTGGTTGGTTTCATTTACAAAATTATACAAACAGCACAAGTGTAAGAATCTTTATTATATATATCTAGCCATGCCGAGATCTCAAATGAAAGAAGAATTGAGGCTTAAAGCAAAAAAAAAAAAAAAATGGTGAAGTTTATTTACCTTCAACCTCAACATTGCTAGCCTCCTATCTTTGCTCTTTGCTAGTACCTTTGCAGTGGCCATGTTCATCTTTTTGAATTCTAAGCGTGGGTAAGCATTTAGTGTTTTCACTCTATATGGCTCTCATGGCCAAGTCCCAATTAAAGCTATCCAAGAAAGGGGGGTGGCAAAACATCTAAGTCATAGCCAAATTGCCATGCAACTCTCTGTGTGCGGTAACTTATGAGGACCCATAGTCTTTCTACACGATACATGACAGCATAGATGGTGTAATCATAGCCAATTTCTCTAAGTGACTTGCATCACCTGCAATGAAATCTATTACTTGGCTTCCCAGCACTACTACACTGTCTTGTCGAAAACGCTTACTTCTAGCAGTGCAAGCATCCTCAGCATTGTCTTGTATGCATGGAAGTTAGAGATGATGCGATTGATAAGAAATTTGTCAACATTGGAAGAAATTTGCCTCCTTATCTTCCTTTTCCCTATTTTTGCGCAAGCCAACGAAAGCTTCACACTCTCAACCTAACCTATTCTTGGGGGCTAGGGGAATTTCAATTCAATTTTTTTTCAAGAGAGGAAGTTAATTTCTCAATTGTTAATAACTATCTTTGAAGCAACTTCAACTTCTTTTTGGCTTCACATTCAATGCACAATGCGAGAAAAAATTTCTACTTGTTGTATCCCACTCCGGATCCATTATTTTTCAAAAGGGAATTGCATCATCATTGTCGGAACTCCAACAATGATGTGACTAAGGCCAACATTCCAGCCATGTATCTACAATGTTCGGAATCATCACCCGAAGCATTATCATCGGCAATATCAAATTTCTTGGCTGGACTCTTATTCTAGCCATGCTTGATTTTATCTGTGTTGAAGCATCATCATAGATGGCGTCAGATTCCTTGGTTGAAGTTTTTCTCTGGCCATGCTTGATTTTATCTTTGTCAGAGCTTCATCAACAACATCAAATCTCTTGGCTGAAGTCATTTATTTGCACATGGCTAGGTTTTTTTTTACAATCATGATCTCTACTACAACGTTCCCTACTACATCGCTTTGGCTCTTAGTAATGGATAAAAAGCCTATCTTGCTATAGATACATGGCTGGGCATTTTTTACGGTCATGCCCTCTATAGTGATGTTCACTGTTACATATTTTGGCTCCCAACAATAAATAAAAAGCCTATTTTGCTACATGTCTCCATCAAAGAACAACGAGTTGATCTGTATAGCTCCCAGCAATGGACAAAGGGCCAAGCATCTCTTTCTACATATCTCTATCACCGGTTCCCATTGATGGACAATAAGCTGATCCTATTACATCTACACAACTCCCAATGATGGACAAGCCTTCAGCAATGGGAAAAAGGCTACACATTTCTACATATCTTCATTACACCGACTCTCGATAATGGATAAAGGGTTGGATCTCTACATATTTAATTTCACTAGCTCCCAAAAACAAACAAAGAGTCAACATAACTCGGTAAAATTAACGTAAGGCTGGTAACAGTTACAACTCTACAATTGGATGGGATGGCTACCCTCTAACAATAAAAATCCATCAAGTAGCGGCTGGTGGTTCCTTGGTGGTCACCCATGCATGGTGCTACAATGCTCGGTGGGCAACAACAACCAGGATGGGTACGATAAGAAGGGCTAGCATTTGTCAATGGTATCACACCTTGTCGCATCGAAGGCCATGGATGCAGTTGGTGTCCCCCTTTTATGGAGACAACTCCACCTATCTTTATCACATATTCATTGCTATGGCAGAGTCTGGCTTGATGAGATTTACCCTTTTGTGACTTGGCAGATTAATGGGAATGCTCTTCTGATTCCACATAGTTCACGCTTTAGCCATGGACAAACATACCCACTATTGTCCCTCTAGCTATGGGAAGGCTATTCATGGCTGATCCTACAATACTAATACAACGTGGCCAATGGTCATGCACTTCATTATTCTTCTATATAAAAGGACAAAGTTACTGATCGCCAATAATCACGACCATAACATATCTCTTCTATATTTTTGTTGATGGACATTTTTGTAAAGGGTCAAACTTGGACTCAAGTAGTTTCCACATCACCAAGACCCATCTTGATCTAAGCGCCTATTGGCCTTCAAGGTGCATTTATCAAAACGCCCATAATATCTAATGCTGTAATACATGGCTAGGCCCAACAGTATCTAATATTGCAGTACATGGCTGCATCGCCAGAAATATATAAGGAAGTCTCTTTCCTTCATTATTTCCTTATTTATAAATTTCATCATTTTCATCAATTGATCACTATTCCTCTATGCAGGTCATCAATAAACCCATGAATTCAAGCTCATGGGGATATTCAAGATAAACTATGGGAGTAATGGCTTGGCAGGCATGGATGGGTGAACGTTGCCTGTCTAGCAAAGCGAGGTATTCACACTGGCGATGTTGCCCAACTTCACTAGAAAGGGTTGGGTGGCAAAGATGTAGAGGCAGAGTTTATCTCCAAAACAATACCATTTGATGCTAACTATAAGCTTAAAATACTGTTCAAAACTAACCAAAAGATGTTGTCTTAGTCACCATTAACAACTTGTAGCTATATTCAATGTAAAGGTGGCTACACAAGTTCCATGGCCTTGAAAATTGTTGAAAAGATCACATTTTGTCTAGGAAATCTTCCAAAATCTTGGCCAAATCTGATTTTGCCAAATTGCACTCAAATACAGCCCCCCCCCCCCAAAATGGTATTTCGTATGGCTGGAGAGTTACCAAAAATAGATAGTCTTCAGCAGATTAGTAGTACTTCGCTAGAATTGGTGGTGCTTCATTGAAACTGGCGGTGCTTTGCTGAAACTAATGGTGCTTCGCTGGAACTGACAATGCTTCATTGGAACCACTGGGTAATTCATAATATCACTACCAAAAAGCTATCAACAATGCCCAAAGCCACCCAAAACCCTACAGCTCACCCAAAGTTACTCATTAGGCCACTGTGCATCTTTGACCCATCAACTAGAAATTATAAAAATACCACTGCACATATATATTATTTTTCCTTAAACATTTTAACAAATTTCAACAGTTTTGACAAAACTAACTTTCTTCCTCACGTACCAAACTCCCAATTTTTCCTTTGAAAAATCTTTCATCTTCAACACTTCCCCAAATACACCAAAAATACCCAAAAACCACCATTTTTATTATAGTTTATTCACTTCCAACATTGCTGAACACTTTCCAAACTTAAGAACATCATGGTTAGGAGAGCATACTACAGATTCATTTTTTGGGTTATCTTTATGAACATCAAAGGTTCAAGCTGAAGAGTTAGCATCAAAAAGGGGATCAAGCCCTCCACTCACAAGCCTCCAAAATGGTCATCCTTCCTTCTCCCATCAGTACTTTCAAGTTTATTCCTTTTGTCTTGTTAAAACTCGGAGACTATTGTGTTTTTTATCTACATTGTGAGGGTTTCTCTTTATAGAGTAGGAGTATTTGTCAAGGATAATAGAGGGCACGTTAATGGTTTTTGCTCTTGTGCTATAATATATTATGTAAAAATGTGCTTCTCAAGTTGTAATTTTTAACCCTTATATATTTTCTATCCTTGCTGCTCCTATAGAAATATTTATTTCATTTTCACTATTTTTAGTAATTGTGTAATCGTTCCTAGTTCCAACATCTAGTTCTTCTAACTTCATTGAAAAAGGTTCACTTTCAGACTTTGCTAGAAGCATCAATTTGGCTGGGGACACTCTATTCCTAAACTTCACCATGAAGGTTCATTTCCAGACTTCGCTGGAGAAGTGTTATTCTTGGTTTTCACTAGAGAAACTCTACTTCCTGACTTTGTTGGAAAGAGCTCATATGTCATCCTTACAAGAATGAGCATCATCATCACCTTACTCTCCCAACTTGGCTAGAAAATTTTTACTTTTAGACTTTGCTGGAGAGTTTGCTGCTGACCAACATCATTGGACAAAAGGAGACAGCCCGTGGCACATAACCTCTTGCATGTGAAACGGGTGCTACTAAAGGACCCTCCTCATTTTTCATGGGTGGTATCCTAGTCAACCTCCGCATCAACTCCACTGCTGACTCATCATCCTACATCACTAGCACACCCTAACAAAAATGGCAACTCCACTAGAGGTCGTCCTAGAGCTTCATCTTGTTTTACTCTTCTTTAGCGGTATAATATCTTTAGTATTCTTCCTTAACAATATTTATTCATCTTCAACAAGATTTTTCTGAGCATGCCTGTCACAAGAGAAACTTCATCTCACATCGTTGATAGAAACCAAAAGCTTGGCCAAGATGATGGACAAGAAGTTCAGCAATCATGTCCACCGCCACACATTTTTGATGATCTCTTGCAAGGAATCATTGATCCTAATCTCACACCTTTGGTTCAAGTTATTCAAGTCTCGCACCAGAATTAGCAAAGAACTACTCAACTTCTCGCTGACTTGCAAGCTCAACATACTGTGCAGGATCTAACGTAACCAATCAACATGGCTGGGACATCCCAGCCACAAGAGATCCAAATTGGGGCTACCGATAGCAATGGGGACTCAGTTGCGTGGTGTAGTAACACAACACTGCCAACAATCGCAATCACCAACATTGACAAAGCTCCACCTAACGTAGCCAATTCCACTTAAGGCTTCGTCACCATGGCAGATATTACCGCTCTCTTGGACAAGGAGCATTCTAGACAAAGTTCAGCCACTTTTCAGTTCATCCATGATCCACCCTATCCAAAAGAGATTCTATCGAAGCCCAACTCGAAGACATATGAAAGTCCCATTCTCGCAATACCATGGGTGGAAAGGCAATAGTGTAAAGCATGTCATCAAGTTCCTCGATGCCATGGGGGCTCACGCCAGCGATAAGGACTTGTGCCTACATGAGTTTTTAAATCTCTCTCCAATAGAGCTTACACTTGGTATACTACTTTGTCCCCCCGACTTTATCCACTCTTGGGATGAAATGGTTGAGCAATTTTGTCAAAAATATTTTCAAAGTGAGGAGCACATCACCATCATTGATCTCTACAACACTCACCAAGATGCTGACAAGGATTTGATGGTTTATGTGAAAAGGTTTAGAGATTTGGTGATGAGAACCCCAAAGAGAACAATGAGACCCATAGCACGACAAGAGATTTCTAAACTCCAGGAAAGCTAAATCAAATTTATAATAGGACCCTGACCCATTGTTTATGTCGCAATAAGAACCAAAGGTAAAACCTTGACCCGTTGTCTATGATGCAACAAGAACAAGAGGTATAAAGTTGGTTGACGCCACACCCTTAAATGTTTAAAAATGAGAATGATAAGTCAGGTTAAAACGCCACAAGAATAACCTTGATAAGTTCTGTAAAGTTCTGAAACAAACCAAAGAAAAAAGTCTCTCAAAATCTCAGATTCAATAGCCTCCCAATTAGGGTTACAAGCCCTTTTAAATAGGGAAAAGTAATTATAATCAAAACAGGAAACTAACACCCTAAACCCTAATCATAATAACCACGAATTGGGTCTTAAATAAATGAATGTTCAACCCAAAATAATATAAAAAATGTGAAAATTAGTAAAAGTAGCCTAAAGTAACATGAAATATCAGTTTGTTACAAATTGCAACAGAATTGCGAGATTGACACAAACTGTGTAATTTAGCATAAATGACCTCAATTAAGCTTATCTTGAACCTGAATGATGTTTATCATGCCTTGATAATCATCCAACCTTCAATTTACTTCTTGCATGTTGTTATCAACCCAGATCTGCTCAATAAGGCCATTTAAAGCTTCTCGCATCTTCCTAGCTCTAGCTCTCATGACTGGACCTCCTGGAATGTGTAATGGATCTCTTGACGTGCTACATGTGGGTTCATCTTGATTCCCATCATTTGGCACTTGATTGTTATGGTGGCCATGTTGAATCTTTCTCGGTTGAGATCTACATCAACAACATGATCCTAGAATATCGTGTTGTCCTTGAAAATATCAAGATAAGTCAATTTGCAAGGCTACATAATGCTACCAAGAGAACAACCATTTCAATCCAAGCCATCTTTGCTACAAAGTCTGTAGCGAGGTCGATCGAAGAGAAGGCCATTGCTTACACCTCAACTGTCCATGTAAAGCAAAGCAGAATGCTTAGCTTTTAAAGCTAGGAATGAAATATCTTATGAGCACTTTATGTCTCCTAGCAAAGCTGATTATCTTACATCGTCAGAGAAGCTTGCTTATCATTTTGCTTCATTGACCTTATAGTCTCATGGCTTCAAACTAACTGGCGGTAGCATTTGATTCTTTTAGATCTGCTTATACATCAAATGCATTGCTAGCACTTGAGCCACACCTTGCCAACCTACCAGAGATGTTACTTTTCTCACATAGCCAGCATTAGTGCCTTTTTGAGGTCTACTAGCAGTATTATCTTCCATGGCCAGTGTTCATACCTTTTCAAGGCCTGTTGGCGATATTATCTATCATGGCCAATATTCGTGCCTCTGCAAGGCCTACTGGCAATATTATCTTTTATGGCCAATATTGATTGCTAGCGATGGATTTTCAGGGCCTATTCGTGATCTTATTTTTCTTGGCTAGTATTTCAGCCATCCTTGTTGGCAGCATTCTTGTCTCTCATGGCTAGTATTCGTGTCACACCAAAACTTGCCAGCGATGTCGCCTGATCATCTTTTGGGCAGCATTTATGTCATGACAGACTTGTTATGTGATGGTGTTTCCTTTCCCATGGTTAGTATTTACGTCATCCTTGACTTACTAATGGTGTGTTCTTCTATGACTAGTATTTCTTGCTAACAGTATTCTTACACTTGATGAGTACTTGTGCTACTTTGATGAAATGCATTAACACTGTGTGGGCTGAAGAATGTGGCTATTCATGGAACAAATAGAGTAGGCTCATCACCATAATTATTAGCTGTTTTAACATAATTCTGATGAAATGGGTGACTTATCTCGGCAACTTCATTCAATGACTTCGCTGGAACCCAAGTGCTCTTTCTCTTAGCTGAGTAATTTCATATGTGCCTCAACTGATTTCAACATCGCCTCTAGGTTAAGCATCAGCTCTTTCGTATCAGCCAAGGATTTCTGCATATTTTCAACATGCTTCACTTGCTTGTCAATCTATTCATCTTAGTCGCCAGCCATGTCACTCCCAACCATGTCGAATTTGCCTTTGCTAAGGTTTGCCTTTGCCAGCCCAAGTAGCTCCAACTTCAAAGCTTATGTTCTTGGCATCATCTATGGTATCCTTACACAAATGAAAGAATTCCTCATCCATCTCAGCAAAGTTACTTCCATGTTCCTCACAACTACACAAAGATTTATGAAGGCATTTTCAATCATTACTTTCTTAGCCTTGCTGCGCATGTTGTCTATATCACTTAACTTGGCTAGAACAAAGGAAGACTTGTCCTTAAACATGATTTTTCCAAAGCTAACAGCTTTCTTCGATATGCTTTTGGCAACTTTATCAACATTTATCTCATCTTCGTTGGGAATGGATTCTTTTGGAGCTATAACTAAGTATGGCACGCCTTTCTCTAGCACAGCTTCTTATGCCAACTTCGACATCAGACATGCCATCATCTTCATCATCACTCTCATGGTTGGACTTATGGTTACCTCCTGAGGCCTCATCACTCTTGGTGGATTTCACATCATTGTCTTCACTGGCTTTGAGCTAGCCTCTTCAGTAGCCTTCTTGCCTTTATCTTTGTTGGCAGCTACTTGAATCCCAACCATATCACCCTCAACATCTGGCAAAGCAAGCAAAAGCCAACTGTTCAACAAAGATCTTGTTTTTTGAGAAGAAAAGGTACCAAATTATACATCATACTTCTTGTTGTCTATGGTACCTTCTTCCATAGCAATGGCAATTCAATATTCTCTTTAGTCGAAGACTTCTTTGGCATCAAGACATCATCGATTTTAAAAGAAGGTGATTCTTTGGGCTTGCTTTATTATCATAAAAGATGGCTAAGTGGAAAACATGATAGCTCCAACAATGGCGAAAATGCTTCATAGCTGTTAGAGAACAAAAGTGTGCATACCATTGTTGATGTCATGGCTGGCTGATCTTCTATCAATTTGTGCTTTTTTTCACTACTTTGGGAGTGCCATATGAAAATTTTTGCACCTTTTCTTGTCCATATCCATACAAAAGCAAAAATCTTGAAGTCAGTAAAAGTGTGTGAATTAATCTCCTAGCTATGACCCTTATATCATGGAAGTTACTTGCAAAGTGTATTTGACTTACCATGATGGATTTCCATGGAGAAGCTGTACTTTGCCTTTGTTCTTTTTGTTGCACTTTAGTTGCAAAGGATGTAAAATCATTCCAACCAAAGATATCATCAATCAAGCCAACTATGCTGTCAAGCAGTGAAGGCTCATCCACTTCACCAACAATGATCTTACGATGAACTCTTGGCTTTGCTAGAGCCTCTCCATGTTCTTTGCTGAAGCCTCATCAATGTTCTTTATTGGAGCCTCATCTATGTTCTTCACTAAAGCCTCATCCATGCTCTTTATCGAAGCCTCATCCATGTTCTTCATCAAAGCCTATACATTCTTGGACTTCTTTGCCTTGGATGAAACTACATCATTGCTAGGAATAAGTATGGGGTCTAGTCCTTCGCTAGAGGTTGAGGGCTACACATACCAACAATGACTCTTGTATTATGATTTCTTAGTAAGATCAACAATGATGGAAATTTTGCATTAGCTATGCAAGGAAACCTCATCAATGCACACGCTTGTCTTCTTTTCATTTTCCTTAGGCATTTAGCTTTGTGAGGCATGGATGCCTTAACTTTAATTTATTTGCTAGCCAAAGAAGCATTAGATTTGTGAGCTTCACCCTTGGATAGCTACTTCACTCTTGGATGGCTTGGCCATACTCTTTCTTTTGCCTTATACTAGTTTATTTGAAGAAATTACTTAGCTAGCTTCACCTACAAAATTGCACGAACAACATAAGTGCAAAAACCTCTCTATTATATATACATCCAGCCATGCCAAGATCTTGAATGAAAGAAGAACTGAGGCTTAAAGTAAAAAGAATGGAAAAGTCTATTTACCTTCAACCTCAACATTGCTAGCCTCTTGTCCTTGCTCTTCGCTACCTTTGCTTTGGCCATGTTCATCTTTCTGAATTTTAAGCGTGGGTAAGCACATAGTGTTTTCACTCTATATGGAAGCAGCAACATCAGTGATGTAAGGCCTCATGGCCAGGTCTCAATCAAAGATATCCAAGAAAGGGGGTGGCAAAACATCTAAGACATAGCCAAACTGCCATACAACTCTTTTTGCGCAATAATTCATGAGGGCTCGTAGTCTTTCTACATGATACATGACAACATTAATGGTGTAATCATAATCAATTTCTCTAAGTGGCTTGCATCACCTGCAATGAAGTCTATTACTTGGTTTCCTAGCACTACTGCATTATCTTATCGAAAAAGCTTACTTCTAGTGGTGCAAGCATCCTCAGCATTATCTTGTATGCATGGAAGTTAGAGCTAACGTGATTGCAAAGAAATTTATCAGCATTGGAAGAGATTTGCCTCCTTATCTTCCTTTTCCCTATTTTTGAGCAAGCCAACAAAAGCTTCATACTCTCAACCCAGCCTATGGCTAGGGGCTAGGGGAATTTCAATTCAATTCTTTTTCAAGAGAGGAAGCTAATATCTCAATTGCTAATAACTATCTTCAAAGTAGCTTCAACTTCTCTTTGGCTTAAGATTACATGCACAATGCGAGAAAAAATTTCTACTTGTTATATCCAACTCTAGATCCATTATTTTTCAAAGGGAAATTACATCATCACTGTTGGAACTCCAACAATGACGTGACTAAGGCCCGCCCACATTCCAACCATATATCTACAATGTTTGGAGTCATCACCTAGAGCATTATCATTAGCAATATTAGATTTTTGGCTGGACTCTTACTCTAGCCATGCTTGATTTTATCCATGTTGAAGCATCATCATAGATGGCATCAAATTCCTTGATTGAAGTTTTGCTTTGGCCATGCTTGATTTTATCTTTGTCAGAGCTTCATCAACAACATTAGAACTCTTAGCTGAAGTCTTATTCTAGTTGTGTTTAAATCCATCTCTGTCGAAGCTTCACCAATAACATGAATTTCTTAGATGAAGTTTTGCTCTAGTCGTGTTGAATTACTCGCGACACATCTACTTTGACTAGAGGATTCACATGACTTGTCTCTACAACAGATATGCTATATTATATTTTCTGCTTATATCTACAATGGAATCAGCATCGCCAAAAGAGGTACTCAACATTATTCTCTTATACATTGCCAGAAGCAACATTTACCCACTCGATTGGGAGTGATACAGACATGTTCTACTTCAACAACATTTTCTTACACATGGTCAGACATGGCTACATTATCTACACAACATGGTTGGGCATTTTTGACAGTCATGTTCTCTACAGTAATATTTATTGTTACATCTTGCTGACTACATTTATTTGCACAACTTGGCTGGGCATTTTTTTACGGTCATGATCTCTACTACAATGTTCACTACTACATCACTTTGACTCCCAGCAATGGATAAAGAGCCTATCTTACTATAGATACATGGCTGAGCATTTTGTACGGTCATGTCCTCTAAAGCGATGTTCACTATTTTTTTGGCTCCCAACAATGGATAATGAGTTACATCCACACAACCTCAGCGATGGACAAACCACACAACCTCAGCGATGGACAAAGGGCCAGATTCATATCATTTAGCCTCCAACAATGGGTAAAAGGTTACATGTTTCTACATATCTTCATTACACTAGCTCTTGGCAATGGACAAAGGGTCAAATCTCTACATATTATATCTCACTATCTCCTAAAAACGGACAAAAAGTCAATGCAACTCAATACAATTAACGTGAGGCCAGTAACATTTGCAACCTTGTGATCGGATGGGATGGCTACCCTCCAGTGATAAAAATCCATCAAGTAGCGGCTGGCGGTCCCTTGGTGGTTGCTTGTGCATGGTGGTGTGGTGCCTAGCAAGCAACAATAACTAGGATCATCCTCTGATAGTGGCGGGTATAGGAATAAGGGCTAACGTTTGTCAATGGTATCACACCTTGTCATATCGGAGGCCATGGATGTAGCTAGCATCCCTCTTCCTTGGAGACAACTCCACCTCTCTCTATCACATATTCATCGCTATGGCGGAATTTGGCTTAGTGAGATTTACCCCTTGCAACTTGGTAGATTAGTGAGAATGCTCTTCTAATTCCACATAGTTCATGCTCCAACCATGGACAAAACTAGCCACTGTTGTCCCTCTGGTTATGGGAAAGCTATTCATGGCTGACCCTATAGTACTTATACAACATGGCCAACGATCATGCACTTCATTATTCTTCTATATAAAAGGATAAAATTACTAGTTGTTGGTAATCCTGATCCATAACATATCTCTTCTATATTTTATGTGTTAGTAGGTATCACTAACCAGCAATCCTTGGCTCGAGACAATGATATCATAAACACATATCCAAATTACTCATTCTTTATTTTGGCGTAACACCAAACATACATAGCAATGCTATACAAGTGCTGCTTATGACAAATGGACAAAGAGGCACAACAATGTATACTTACATCTTCTCTTTCGATGCATGAGGGAGGTCAACGAAGCTTCGGCCAACCCAACGATATTCAACATGGCCAGCGGTCATGAACACATAATTACATATTGATACATCTTCAATAGTCTATCATGGAGAAGAAACATTATCAAGGCCTAAAAGGCTCACATGGATAGATTTCATCCACTGTGACTTATTTACTACATCACTTGGACAAAAGGTCCATCTTTGACTCGATCAGAAGGTCCATCTTTGCTGGAATACTCTATCTCGATCAGAAGATCCATCTTTGATGGAATACTTGATCTTGATCCAAAGATCCATTTTTGTTGGGATACTCCATCTTGGACAAGAAGTCTTCTTCAACATATTGGGTCCATTACAAGTACATCAACATATATGTGCTCATTTCATCTTCATCGTCATTTTATCATCTCTGGAAAAAGAAGGGCTCAATGAAGCTTGTTGGTCTCGACTTGTAATTATAACAAGGCTATGGAGAGTCTTCATCTTTACTTTGTCTCTTGAACGAGTTATCCATCATTGTTGGTTCTCACATTCCTTGGATGAAGGGTTATTACTCTACTTCACATATTTCACTTGGATGGAGCAGTCTGCTATAAATTCAACATCTTGTAGCTTATGGCTATGTCTTCATCACTATTCAAGTCATTTATCTTTGACAAACAACTTCTTAATGTCAAGTCACAAAAGAAGATGAAGAATTGTAAATATTTGCTTGACAAGCATGTACATGGAAGATTTAAAAAAAAAAAAAAATTACATGGCTGGAAGATTATATTGCCAGTATTACCTTCTAGCAAAGTTGATGAATGTTCATCCCTAACATTGCAACTTCAACTCCCTGCTTAACTTTCATCAGAATGTTATCCTCTCCATAGTTAGGTCGACAATATTTTTCAGCTATGATGACAAAGCAACATGGCTATGAACAGTGCTCAACGCTTTCATTCCCCAGTGGAGGAAGATTCCTTACAAGCTCAACCAAGCTGCTAAGGGAGGGCTTTACAAGCAATCATTCTTATTATTGTTGTCATCATCATTTTGCAACATAAGGATGGGTCTATTCTATGGTGAAGTCAACCTTCCAAGTTTGGCAAAACATAACAACATTTCTTCAACTTGTCGCATAATAAAGATATTACTGGACAGCATCGAACTCATCTGATATTTGGCAAAGTTTAGGCATATTCTTCAACTCCATCAACTTCAAGCATGAAGATTTGTTGTCACAACTCTCCTCGCTTGGGGAGCTAATGTTGATGGATGTTTTTGTAAAAGGTCAAATTTGGACTCGGGTAGTTTCCACATCACCAAGATTCGCCTTGATTTAAGTGCCTATTAAGGCCTTCATCGTGCATTTATCAAAAGGCCTAGCAATATCTGATGCTGTAATAAATGGCTAGGCCCAATAGTATCTAATGCTGCAATACATGGCTACATCGCCAAAAATACATAAGGAAGTCTCTTTCCTTCATTATTTATGTTGATGTGCCAAAATGAATGGAGTCGCCATCTATCCAAATGAGCTGAGATAGATCACCAAGGTCTACGTAGAAATTAACTAGGTTTGGAGGGTCGGGTAAGCATAAGGAAGGTGTTAGGCACCCCACAACTTCCATATAATATGGTTACCACATACTTTAATTTTGGGAACTTTTCAATTTCATATCAAAATAATAATTTCCCAAAAAAAATCACTTAAATAAAAAAAATCTGTCATTTACCTTTTGTTTCTTCATTTCTGTTTTTTTTTTTTTTCGTTTCTTTTTTAAAAATTTTTATCAATAACAATTGCCCAAAAAACTCACTTAAAAAAACAAAAATAATAATAATAAATAAATAAGTACAGTCCTCCATTGGCTTCCCTTTTTTCCATTTTGGTTTTTTTGCTTCTGTTTCTTCTTCTTCTTTTTTTAATTTTTCTACACTCTTTTCTTTCCTCGGCTTTCTTTTTGTTTTTGTTTTTTTTTTTTAATGCCTAAACCTACTTCATATTTCCTAAGAAAGTTTCCTTTTCCAATTTTTGTTCTATCTAATACATAATAGATCCTAAAAATTCACGAATAACACTAAACTAACTTTTCCTAAAACTAAAAAGAATCTACAAGTGATTACTTTGCATTACAGGAAACAAACTAATATGGGGAAAATAAGTGAATCATGTTTGCAACAAAGACACAATCAATAAACTTTTACTTTCTCAAGATCAGTTGTAGACAAACCATGAAAGAAACAGTTCAAAAGGGAAACCAATCAATTACCAATAACAAAGAAAGGAAAAAGAAGGAAAAAATATGACAGAAAAAAAACACCACAAAAAAAAAAAGTCATGAACAATGCACACCTTAAGAAAATAGGAAAAATCAGACTTTATTTTCTTGAAGTTTTGGATACAAGCTTCAGAATTTTCCCTTTTTCTCTGCTCTCTTTCTCCCTCTTGATCTCTCCCAATTTTCTTCTTTTTTTTTAATCTAAAGCCAAAGGCCCCCTTTTATAAACAAAGGGAAAAACCCAATTCTAATGCACTTCTAATTTCCAATGCAAATCCCTAAGATAACAACCCAATCCTATTTGGAATGGGATTTCTTAGTTCTTCCCACATCTACCCCTTTTAAGTCTAAATTCATACTTTTTATGCATTAGGACTCCCACCTTGAATCAATTTCGGACTCTTTGGAGTTGATGACTTACGGTTTGTACATCCTTATCCAAATCCTTCGATTGGCTAAGTTTATCTTCAAAGAAATCCCTTTGGCATCATGTTGGAGTTAATGAGAAAAGAGGTGCGGCAGAAAAAACAAGGAGGTTAGGGCTCAATCATAAACCCAACCTTGTATTTTTTAACCCATTAGCAAAACGACGTTGTTTTGCCATTTCCTTTTCTTAACCCCTTCAAGTTTCCAGCTTTACAAAAACAGTCCATTGACTTCTAATTTTATCATTTAGCCCCTCAGTAAAATTGAGTTATTACAGTTGGCCCCCTTTTTACTTTTTTTTTTTTTTTTTTTTTTTAAAAAAAGAAAAGTAAAGAAGAAAAGAATAACCCAATTTTAAGCTTTGAAAACAATTTATAAGTGAAAGCTTCATTGCTTTCCTTGTTATCTTCATTTCTACTTTTCCAAGAATGCGATCTTCATTTAGAATGTGACTTCTAAGATGTGGTCTTCATCTTATCTTTTATGAGATGTGTGGTCTTTATCTCTCCTTCTTCCTTAGATGCGGTCTTCATCTAGGATGTGATTTCTAAGATGCGGTCTTCATCTTATCTTTTACAAGATGCGATCTTCATCTCTCCTTCTTCCTTAGCCGCGGTCTTCATCTAAGATGTGACTTCTAAGATGCGATCTTCATCTTATCTTTTGCGAGATGCAGTCTTCATCTATGATATGACTTCTAAGATGCAGTCTTCATCTTATCTTCTTGGAGATGCAGTCTTCATCTTTCCTTCTTCCTTAGATGCAGTCTTTATCTAGGATGTGACTTTTAAGATGTCGTCTTCATCTCTCCTTCTTCCTTAGATGCAGTCTTCATCTAGGATATGACTTCTAAGATGTAGTCTTCATCTTACCCTTTGCAAGATGCGGTCTTCATCTCTCCTTCTTCCTTAGATGTAGTCTTCATCTAGGATGTGACTTCTAAGATGTGGTCTTCATCTTATCTTTTGCGAGATGCGGTCTTCATCTCTCTTCCTTTCTTAGATGCGGTCTTCATCTAGGATATGACTTCTAAGATGTGGTCTTCATCTTATCCTTTGTGAGATGCAGTCTTCATCTCTCCTATGAGATGCGGTCTTCATCTCTCTTTCTTCTTTAGATGCGGTTTTCATCTAAGATGTGACTTTTAAGATGCTTTATCTCTCATTCCTTCTTAGATGCGGTCTTCATCTAGGATATGACTTTTAAGATGCGGTTTTCATCTTATCTTTTGCGAGATGTGGTCTTCATCACTCCTTCTTCCTTAGATGCAGTCTTCATCTAGGATGTGACTTCTAAGATGTGGTCTTCATCTTATTCTTTGTGAGATGCGGTCTTCATCTTTCCTTCTTCTTTATATGCAGTCTTCATCTAGGACATGACTTATAAGATGCGTTCCTCATCTTATCATTTTGTGAGATGCGGTCTTCATCTCTTCTTCTTCCTAAAATGTGGTCTTCATCTAGCATGTGATTTTTCCAAGACACAAACTTCATCTCCTTTTTTTTTAAATGCAAAATTTCTCTCTTCTTCTTCCTTTTTACCTTTGGTTTTTGTTGCGACATAAACAACGGGTCAAGGTCCTATTATAACCCCAAAGAGAACAATGAGACCCACAGCACAACAAGGGATTATAATAGGACCTTGATCCGTTGTTTATACTAGGAAAGCTAAATCAGGTTTATAATAGGACCTTGACCCGTTGTTTATGTTGCAACAAGAACCAAAGGTTCCTTGACCCGTTGTCTATGATGCAACAAGAACCAGAGGTACAAAGTTAGTTGACGCCACACCCTCGAACGATTAAGAACGAGAATGATAAGTCAGGTTAGAACGCCACAAGAATAATCTTGATAAGTTCTGTAAAGTTCTGAAACGAACCAAAGAGAAAAGTTTCTCAAAATCTCAGATTCAATCGCCTCCCCAATTAGGGTTACAAGCCCCTTTAAACAGGGAAAAGTAATTCTAATCAGAATAGGAAACTAACACCCTAAGCCCTAATCATAATAACCACGAATTGGGCCTTAAATAAAAGAATGTTCAGCCCAAAATAATATAAAAAACGTGAAAATCACTAAAAGTAGCCTAAAGTAACATGAAATATCAGTTTGTTACAAATTGCGATAGAATTGCAAGATTGACGCAAACTGGGTAATTTACCAAAAATGACCTCTATTAAGCTTCTCTTGAACCTGAATGATGTTTATCATGCCTTGATAATCATCCAAGCTTCGATTTGCTTGTTGTATGTTGTTTTCAACCCAGATCTGCTCAGTAAGGCCATTTAAAGCTTCACGCATCTTCTTAGCTCTAGTTCGCGTGACTAGACCTCCTTGGGTGTGTAATGGATCACATGACGTAGTAGATATGCTGTCGTCTTGATTCCCATCATCTACCAAAGTAACCAAACCACAAAAATAAAAACTAAGCATATTTATTAGGCAAGAATAAGAGGAACTGAGGAAGGGGATCAAAAAACTAAGAACTGAAAACTAAAAATTTCTCATATTTGTAGCCGAGAATAAGAGGAACTGAGGAAGAAGATAAAAACTGAAGTTAAGAGGAAGGGAATCAAAGATCCTCTTTAGCAACCCTGTGGACAAGTGGCACCTCTAGACTCTGACTCTGGTGACATGCAATCAAGGGTTGAATAGCAGAGCAGTAGGGTGACTAGGGTAAACTCGAAAGCCCATAGCCAAGAATTGCGTAGCGACGCAGGCTATGGAAGTGGGAACACGCCCCCACCCCTAAAAAAAAGAAAAGAGAGAAAGAAAAGAGAAAAAAAAAAGAAAAAAAATGCTGTAGTGCAAGTTTGAGTTTTGTGGAAATCATAAATTGCAATTAATTTGAAGGGGATGAGGGAGGGGGTTGTCCAGGGAACCTGCTCAACCCCCCTCCTAAGCTTCACCCTTGCTTCAATCCTCGTACTGTAGGTGTAGGAATCTAACAAACAAGCAAAGGCATGGGACTTATCAAAAAAGAAAAAAAGAAGAAGAAATTTCACTCACCGGGGCATAAATGATGGAATTCAAGCAAGAAAAGAGGGTTGAATGAAGTTTGGGGGCTAGTGATGTCAGAGGAGAAGCGGGAGAATGAAGAGGGAAAATGAATCGGTGAAAAAAAAAACCCCTAAATAGTATTTATACCCTTTAATATTTCGTTTATTTCGGTGTTGATAGGAAGCACTATTCAATTAGTTAGTCATTATAATTTGCATTGAAAATCGTATCCAAATTATTGCAAATATGACCCGAATTATTGATACCTGAACTGAAACCTGAATATGATGTGGTTAAATACCCTTTTTGGTCCCTCTACTATAAGAAAAAGCCCTTTTTTGGTCCTTATACCGAAAAAATCCCCTTTTTGATCCCTAAATTTTAAAATCCGGCCCCTTTTTAGTCCCTCCGTCAAATTTTGCTCGCATGGCACGTTAACTTAACTGGAACAGTTGACGTGGGTATGCCAACATGTTAAAAATGCTTACGTGGACTTCTGACACCTTCCACATCACTCGCCACATCACTCTCCCGCGTGCGAAAATGAAAAAAAACCATAAACAGTGGGACCCACATTCTGAAATACGTGGTAAATAAAAGTCGATTGTCCCTGAACCCTACCAGAACATAACCCTAAATTCTCCAATTTTTTTTTCCAGTTCCCTGTCCAGAAATCATCTTCTTGCTTTCGAAACTCTTGTTTTTTCGTTCAAAATGAAGGGTGGGCTTTCGCGAAGCAACTCGTTCACTGATTCAGCATAAACACAACAAAATGAAGTTATCACCAATTATGATGTTTATAACAACATAAACACAACAAAATGAAGTTATCACCTGCATTTTCAAACCCAAATATCAAACCAAACACAATCTGAACATGAAATTTTTGTTTCATTCAACCCATAAATAGATAGATTCAAAATAATTAAGAAAAAAAAAGAGCAGGGGTTGGAACGCAGAACTGGGTTCCTCGACAAACCCAGAAACTGGGTTCCTCGACAAACCCAGAAACTGGGTACCGCAAGGAACCCACGCGAGGAACCCAGCAACTGGGTTCCTCATGAAACGCAGTTTCTGGGTTTGTCAATGAACCTAGAACAACATAAACACAACAAAATGAAGTTATCACCTGCAATTTCAAACCCAAATATCAAACCAAACACAAT